TATACATAACATAACGACACAATCTTTGAAATCTTTGAATTAATTTGAAGTTGAAGATTTTCTGATTTTAAAATATGCTTTTCTGCAAATTTTTTATATATAATTAAAAATTATCATTATTCATAACATAACGACACTCCAACCTGAATCTTTGAATTAATTTGAAGTTGAAGATTTTCTGATTTTAAAATATGCTTTTCTGCAAATTTTTTATATATAATTAAAAAGATAGTTTCTTATCATTATTTACATGTCATTTAATGTACGCAAGTAGTTACAAAAGATACATTCTTTTAATTGATTATAGAAATGCGCTTTAATAAAAGTAATCAAAAGGATACGAATAGTCTAAATTAGCAATTTTCTGAAGACGATCTCGACGCTATTATCTTGATTTATAACGTGTCGGCGAAACTAAGCGAAACTTGAGTGTCGATCTGTGACTTTGATCGGTGCATGCGATTCATCTACAACCAAGGGGCCGTAACTTTGGAGTTCGCCGGTCTGTACGCTATTTATTATGCTTGTCTACGGATCGCAGCCTTGCGGTGACTGAGTTTGATTCGCTTTAACGTCATTTTTGTCATAAACATGCATTGCTTATAAAAAATATACAATACGTCAGTAACGTACACTCGAATCTATTATATATAATAAAATCACATAAAAACATACAACCACACTTTTTCTTAATAATAGAATCTACGAAATCGTAGATAAAATATTGCGCAAATTAGTAAAGAAATAAATTTCTTCTATCTCTTGTTATATCTTTCAATTGATATTAATAAAGCAAAAGTGATATTAATAAAGCATAAAGTGATATTAATAAAGCTCTTCACATATGTAAAGCAATCTGATGAATAAATTTAGTAACTTTTAATCGAGGGCGAGTTTAATGAATTGTAAAAAGTAAGAAAATTTTATTACGCGTAGTTATTTTTATAACAAAAATCATGAACTATAATTAAAATCAATTATACACGCTTTATTATCTTAACATGCTGAAAATTATACGTTATTATCATATGGTTATTCAAGATTTCTAATATACGGGTGTCATATTACGTTGACGAAACATGTTTATATGTCGTGCATACATCTTAATATATCCACCTAAACGCGATGAATTTTTGTACATCACCAGCGATTAATATTAATAAATCGCGCGATTTGCGTAGTAATACGATGAAATATGCTTACATCGCTAAAATAATACGTTATTAGTCATTAATTCTGATTATACTTGACATTTTTTTAAATTTTGAAGAACTGATATTGATCATCACACGGAAGCTTTTATGTAACTAATCGGATAATAATCAGACAATGGCTGATCAAATAAAAAAAAAATGACCATTACAGTCTTGTGCTCGAAAAAAATCTGGAATGGCTTTTCAAGAAGAAAAGAGAACGAAAAAATTTTTACATAATACAAAAATACAAAAGATATCTGAAGAATATATAAGATATTTTTTTATACACCCTTGTGTAATTGTTAAAATGAAACACAGAAATATAAGTCGCGCATATAAGTAACAAGGGAAAAATATAAAGATTTTATAATATATTATGAGCAATGATATATAATCTATGATGCGAAAAATTGAACGCGTCGAAGATTCGACGGAAAATCGATCTGATGCCGAATGAAAAATGTTGAAGAAAATAGTGTTGGACACTTACGACGTCGATTATTTGCATGAGCGTGAGGCCGAAGCTCAGCACTAGGGGTTCGGACTCGTTGCCCACCGGCCGCTCCAGCACATTGTACGAGTCCAGCAGATCGTTCAGCAGCCGCTTCTCGTGTAAACCGCCACTTACCAGCCCTGCCCAATCACAATCAGTAGTCAGTGAGAAGTTGCGCGTAATCAGTCGCAACGATCACCTCGTCCTTGTCGCCGACGTCGCATCGCCTCGCTTCGGGAAAAAAACGTAAGAAATGGGAGCGGGAAAACGTAGGAATGATTAATAATCGTCTCTCTCTTTCTCTCTATATCTCTCTGTCTGTCTCTCTCTTCTTTTCTCTATTTTTCTGCCGGTGTCCGAGCAGAGTTTATCTTCTTAGGACTGCGAGCGCAGATCTACCCCCCCCCCTCCCCCCAGCTATTTAGTAT